TCCCTCCACCCAACCACTCATCCACCCATCATCCATCCATCTACCCACCCACCCACTCATCTACCCATCCATCCATCCATCCATCCATCCATCCATCCATCCATCTGTCCTCCCATCCATCCATTCTTCCATTCAACTGTCCATCTAACCATCCACCTGTCCTCCAGGTAACCTTTACTGAGTGCCTGCTGGACATATACGGGCCCAGGGGAGAGATCCAGTGGCCCTACCCTCACGGTGCTTTCAGTCTAACAAGGGAAGACAGGTGGACAGGAAATGAGAAGCATGAGAAGTGCTATAATCCAGCATGCCAGGGTTGAATATGGAAGGGAAAACTATATCATACAGGGGAGCAGGGGAGCCAGAGAAGCCTTCCCTAAAGAGGAGACTGCTATGAAACTTACAGGATAGGTTGGCATTAGCCCAAGCATGGCTATCCAAGGAAGTGAAAGATGCTCAGTGTGGCTGGAGTGCAAGCAGCAAGGAGGGACCGGGCAGAGGGGAGGCTGAAAGGGTAGAGAGGAGCAGCCTGCATGCCAAATAGAGTAGTTTAGACATCATCACATTTAATCTTCTCAGTGACCCATAGAGACACCTATTATTTTCTCCACTGTACAGGTGAGAAATTGTACCTTAGAGAGGCTAATAACAAGAAACATGGTTAAGTGACAAAGGGAAGATTTGAACCCAGGTCTGTACAACTCCAATGCCAATGAAAATAAAGAGTACTCTACACCCAAGTTCAGCTCACTCTGTCCTCATATGGACCAAGTCACAGTATGTGTTACAGCTCCAGGGGCAGTCACCTGAGAGACAGAAAGATGAGACACAGGAGGGACCAATCCCCAACAGGGATTCTGGAGCCCACAGAGCAACTCAGCTTGGTTTCAACCAAACCCAGGTTGAAAATTCTCAGGGAAACTGCAGGACCTACTGTGTTGCCGAAGTAGGGCACACCCCACTGAGGGCCGAAGAGCTGGGACTGGCTTCATCCCCAGGACATAGATTCAGTGGTGGATGGAAAAACATAGGTCAAGCACAGGAACCAGAGATGCAACAGAACCTACTCCTTAAAAAGTCCTTAAACATAGAACAATGTCTTCTGTCTGCCTAAGTTAGTTAAAGGGTGAACTTGTCAATTTATATTACAAAGGTCTAATTTTCATAGAAGATAAAGAGTTTCTACAAATCAACAAGAAAACGGCCAACAACTAAAAATAAATCAGACGAAGGCTACAATCAAAAAAGGATATGCAAATTGCTTTTAAACATAATAAAAAGATACTTGATCTCACTCATAAAAAGAGAAATGCAAACTGAAACTACCAGGAGATACCATTTTTAACCTTTCAGATTAGGAAAAATAAAAAAGTTTACTAACATAGTGTTGGCAAGAGTGGGGAAAACCGACAAGCTCATACTTTGCTGGTGGGAGTGTAAACTCATATAGCCTCACTGAATGGCACTAGATAGCATCTTCCAAAATTAAAAGTGCACATATTCTTGGACCCTGCGATTTGACTAGAGGATATACTTGCAGGTGTGTGAAGAGACAGATCTACACTGCAGAATTGGATGTAATTGCAAAAGACTGCTAACAAACTAAATATCCATCCATAGTGAACTAAGTAAATTAAGCTGTACCCACACAATGGAACCCTCTGCGGTCATTAAAAATTGAATGAGGAAGTTATTTATGTACTGATGTGAAACAATCTTCAAGATCCACTGTAAAGTGAAAAAAAGCAATGTATAGAGCAATGCGCATCAGATGCTGCTGGAGCGGATGCTATGCTGGGTCCACCCAGATCCCCCAGCTGCCAAGAGTGTTGGAGGGACCCCAAGTCCCTCTCCAGGGGCTGCCCAAGGCTGAAGAGAGCTGCCTCACCAAAGATTATGCCCATATACAGTGACAGATCAGAGGCCTGCTCCCCTTACCCCAAATTGAGGCAACTCTGAAGGGCCATTCCGGCTCCAGAGCTCCCCGTGGGGCTGGCTGAGGCCACGGTTGTGATTGCATCACAGTTTAATCCCTCCCTCTGGTCAGTCCTGCTTCCCTCTCTCCCTCACAGATGTCATCGGCCCCAGTGCACTCCCAGTTAACTTCCTGCCCTGCAAATCTCCATCTCAGAGTCTGTTTCTATAGAACCATCCTGCTACTGCTACCATTTGGGGGGGTGGGAGGGGAAGGATTACCCATTTACATACTTGCTTAATTGTGCAAACAATATCTCTAGAAGGACACGCAAGAATCTGAAATACTAGTTGAAATACTAGTTAACTCTGGGGAGGAGAACTGGGGGGCGGAGGGTGGAAGGGTCAGGAGAAGAAGGAAGACTTTCTATGGTTTTCCCTTTTAGTGTTTTTGAAATTTGTATCATGAGCATATGTTACCTATTGAGAAAATAAATAAAGTAACAACGCCTTTAAAAAGCGAAGGCAGAGGATGTTTAATAAAACCTAACAGGAGGCCTCTTCCAGCCATTAGATAATCGCCAGTATTCAGCATGAAGCCTCTGCCAGGCTGACAACCTAGGTCATGGTACTAAAACCAGAGAGTTCAAGGTCACCCTCTGGCCTGCTGACATTGCAGGAAGGGTGTTACTTCTTGTCCATTTCAAACCCATCGAGATATCCTGGATCCAAGCCGGGCTGTGAAGAAGTGATTCTTGCAGGGCACCCTGCTTGTGTGCTCCATGTTGTTTCCAAAGTGCAGAAATCACTGAGGAACCACGGGCCTTCTGTGCCAACCCAAATTCAGTCCAGAGGCCTGCAAAGTGCAGGGTAGTATTTGTCCTCTGGTCAGGAGCAGTTGATGAGGACAGGGCTGACCTTCCCACCAGGCCATTTCTGGGAAGACATCGGAAAGCCTGGCCTCGCCCTGCCTTGGCGCTGCCGACCACCCAGCGATTCAACACATACTTGGGGGGTGCTGTTCCAGATGCTCCCTCCAAATAGAACTTCTGCCTCCACAATGAGCCAAGCCCTTGCTTTTAGATATTTCTTCCTCGTCCCAATTATGAATATAGAACTGAAACATTCCAAGTGAGATCAGAGGTGAATTTTTCAAGAACTGCTAAGTCAGCAAGAATGCAGTTGGCAAAAGGGGAGATTGGAAGTGGAGGCACTTCCCAGCTCTTGCAGATCCTGGGGGACCAGTAAACACATGATGCCAACAATTCTGGTCCTGGCCACACCATAAAATGCCTTTATGAGGCTTGACTCTTCTCCATATACTAGATCTCTCCCGGCTCCCAGACCTTTCTGCACCCTTGCCCTCCTCCCACCCCATTCCTTGGCTGATACTGATTAAGCACACAATATTTTCTCCATTTTCACTCTGTTGGCAGCCATGTGCATTATCTAGAGGCACAGTCTGGGCAGCAGAGAGTTGAGACTGATGCTGTGAGTGGAGGTAGTGTTAACAGTGGAAAGTCATCTGGTCAACACTTCAGAGGCTTCCCCAGCGGGACTTCAGATCTTAGAAGCAGCCAAAGCCCTCCAGTGACATGAACCCCTTCTACCTCCTCCCATTTTGCCATAGAATGATGTCTAGAAAGCAGAACTGGTAAATGATGATTCGCAATAATCGTAAAAACAATCCAGACATGTTGTACCCCCCCCAATGAAATCCTGGTCATGTAACTTTTTAAAAATTATAAGACTGCACCAGTGTAAAGTATTGTTTTGACTTCCTAGATTGGATTATTTCCTGCTGTTCATTTTTAGAAAGAGACATTTACCTGGTCATCTGGGGAACTTGGGTTATATTTGCAATTGGTCCCACCTCTTGTCTCTCAAGGATTGATAGCTGGAAGCCCGTCTCAGCAGACTTTCCTCCTCTTGATTTTGTTACTCCAAAGGAGTGTGATTGGTGGACATCCCACAAGAATGCCCTGCACACAGACAAAACATCGAATAGATTAGCTGATTCTCTAGTCCTTCAAGTAAAGGCACATATGTATATGCACACGTCTATACACATATACATGTATATATAAAGTGTCCAAGCTGCACACTTTAAATATGTGCAATTTATTGCATATCAATTCTACCTCAACAAAGCTGTAAATAATAATAACTTTTGCAGGAACTACGAAATAAAAATGGTGAGATTAGGTGTCCATTCCCCGAACACCTGGCCGGGCTCTCGCTGCCCAACCTCACTGTCATGTGTACCTCCACTCCAACTTGGCCGTGGCTGGTCTGACTGGTTAGCAGCTGGAGCTGAGGCCTTGACACCCGAGAACCTGACACCTGAGAAGGACCGCAGGTTTGAGCAGCAGCAGTCACAGTCCCACACTCTGATGGGGAGACTCTCTTCCTGCCATTTAACCTGCTCAGTGATGGACTAATCGTAAGAAATAAATACAAGGAAAGTCTCGTGGGGTGTCTCAGGCACCGATGACAGCTGCACGAAAACCTGCTGTGGTTATGAGAAGTTCAACGTGGTCAGCTCCTCGCTCACTCATTTCAGGCCCAAAGCCCACATTACCTCCTTTTATAAGCTTTAATATCCCTCGGAAATGTTCTCCCCTTACATTCTCCATCTCTTCCCTGGAACATCTCCAGAGGGGTCTGTGATTGGGTTGCATACAAGTTTCTGAGCTTGCAACTTCCCTTTGGTCATAAATCACCTCTTACACACTCACTTTTTCCTTCTCATTGTTCTTCGGTATTAATAGCCCCAAATCCCGGGAGCATTTGAGAACTGTTCCAATTTTGGTTTGAAAATCAATTTGGAAGCTAGTGGTTGGCTTTGCTCAGACTTCCAATCCTTCTAAGAAGGTCAGTTCCTACAAATTAGCCAAATCAGGGATGGGGGCCTGGCCTGGTGAACTTTCCCATTTTAAAGTCTCACTGTTTCATCTTGAAATGCTAGATACCTTGGTCTCAGTGTTTTTCTTTAACTGTGTCTCTAAAATTAAAATGTTAACTCTGGGGAGAAAAAACCTAATGCCTTCTGTTGTGTGATCTGGTGGATAATTTAAAAAAATAGTTCATTTCAGGATAGGTCAAATTCTATTACGAAAGCAGAATAAATACGAAATCCATCTGTGTTTGTTAAAAGGCTCCGATATTCTTCTCAATTTTTTGGAAACATCTTTCTTCTAAATAAGTTCTGCTTCCTCCATAGGCTGCTGACCTCCTGCAGGGAAAGTGAGAAAGTGTCAGATCTCATCAAATGCTGACAGGGCAGGGCTCCCCCTGAGATGGGAGCAGGGATCCTCTGCCAGCTAACGGGTCTGCCCCCTACATCAGACAGCTGGAATATGCATTCAGGGATAAAGGAAACAGATCGTTGGTTGGGATTCCTTGGGAAGACAAAAGAGGAGCCCCTCACATATAGCACATTGACTTAAGTGGCCTGCACCCCAAACCAGAGCAGGAAATGGAACTGATGATGCTCAAGCCTAGAGGCTGACACCAAGCCAGGAGGGACTCAGCCAAGGTCACCGAGGTTGGCAAGCAGGCCTTCTACAGAGGGAAGATGAGGGCACAGTGTCCACCAGCTCCTCAGTGACCACCAGCCTCCCAACTCCAGAGGTGGCCTGCCTGGCATCCTCTGGCCTGATCCAAGGCCTGTCTGAGCACACCTGTGAGTGTTAAGCTAGAGCCCAAGTTTGAAAGACATGACTTTTCCTTTCTCTACCTCCTTCAGCCCTATTCCAGCCTCTGATGCTGGAGTCAGGTTTTTCATCTTTCCTCGCACAGTTAGTTAGGGGCCAGCTGGTGGGCACCCACAGCATGTGCCCCCTGACTGACCTCCAAGCCAGCCCTCTGTGCCACGGCCACAGGCTCCCACCCCTCAGCCAAAGGTGGGGCTCAGGTATGGCAGAATGAATGATTTATTTAGGAGTGGCTCCCTAACGCTCTCTCTCTGAGACATCATCAACATTTTAAGAGGCTGATAAAGTCTCCTGCATCTGGGGATGGAGGCTATTAATCTATTCATTAGGGTGAGGCAATGTGTCTTTTGAACCCGATACATCCAACTGCGGAAGAGAACAAAGCCTGACAATTACAGACAGAGACAGGCAAAGAGCATCTGCTCCCATGACGTCAGGACTTCTTCCAGGCGGCTCACAAAGCACCGGAGTGCTCCCTCCTGCCCCCACGGAGTGGGAGCCCTGTTGGAGCAAAGTGTTAATAAGAAGCTAATATTTCCTCAGTCCTCGCTTTGTACAGCGCACCATGCAAAGCATTGTGAATGCGCTATCTGACTGACTGCTCACAACAACACTAAGAAGGACTGAGTATTTTTATCTCCATCCTACGAATGGGGGAACTGAGGCTCAGAACGACTAAGTGATCTGCCTAGAGGAATACAGCCAGTAAACAGCAGAGCAGGACTCCATCCCGGCCCTGGCTCCCAAGCCCAAGCTCCTCTGCACCGCTCTGCATCCATCCCTGGAGAGGACTGCAGGGGGACACCTGGGACACAGCTCAGGGAGGCCTCCTGGCAGCAGTTCTATTCACGAACTTCGGAAGAGCTCACACACTGGGTCGTTTGCCCCGTGTCCCCCAGACAGCATCCCAGGTCTGCGCTGGGTGAGATGGGATGCTGCAGGTTAGCCAATCAAGACTCCAGAAAGGCGGGCCCTGTTGATATGACCAAAGCCGACACTCAGATCCAGGCCCACTGCCCTGAAATCCAGCACCGCTTGTAAAGCTTGTCTACAAAGGCTTCTACACTGGTTACTAACAAACTCCCAGATCATTGATCTCTGAATTGCTGGGATATCATGCTGGTCATCAAGGGAAAGTTTGCAGAGTACCCATGCCTATTTACGGATTGGAAGTTCCTCTCTGCTGGACTTGAACTCGCCCCTGTGAAGCCCCAGGACCTCTAATTCTGAAGAGGAGTTAGTGGTGTGGGTCTCCAGGCTCAAGCACAACATGCTGCCTCCCCAGCATAGGTGAGGGTGAGGACTTATGTTGCCCTCCTTCCTCCCTGGGCCTCCAGGGGCCACAGCCAGAGACAGGCCTAGAGCCATGCACGCACCTCCATGCAGGAGGCTGTTCACTGAGAACTCCCAGGCTCCCTGCTGGCTGCCTTTTCTGCTAGCAGCCAGAGTACCTGAGAGTTCAGGCCCCTACAAGCAGCCCTCAACTAATGACAGGCGGTGGCATGGGAATCAATATCCCTACTTCACCACTCAGGGAGGACAACTCTGAGGCGTGGTCTGCATCAGCTCACTGAGTGCCCCAATGGGACTGACATCCAGTTGCCCAAGGGGGAACTTCTCCATTATGTCCCCTTATTTGGTGTCCTTCCCTTCCTTTCTCTGTCTTGCATTCCTACTCTCTGTCAGTGTTCCTAGGATCACCTCCCCACAAACTACTTGTGCTTAAATCCCCGTCTTAGGGTCTGCCCCTAGGAGAACCCAATCCAGCTCCTATCCAGAAGTGTCCTTTCCCCCCTTCAGCCCCCAGAGAATCTGCTTTATGCCCCTCTTCTTAGGATGCACGGCAGCAGTTGAGTGGCCAGGCTGCGGAGAAGGTAGACCTGGATTTGGATCTCAGGAAGGTTCCATACAGGTTGTGTGATCCTGTCACAGCCTCAGTTTTCTCAAAGGTAAAATGACAATGACAGTGCATGGACATCACAGAATGGGTGTGATATGTGTGTATGACAAGAATTTAGCACTGTGCCTGGCCCACAGCGAGCGGTCACCAAAGGGTAGCTGCCATTATTATTACTGTTACTATATTGAATTAGAATTATATTGAATTATTATTATTGTATTAGGATAACCCAAGCACTTGTCTTCCCTCCGTCACCGAGCTGCGACTTCCTTGAGGCCACAGACCACGCGTGTTTCCTCTCTGCCTCCCCTCTCACAGAGCTGATGCTCATTATGTACCTGTTGCATTAAATTGCTTTGTGTAGGAAACAACATGTGTTGGAGAGGATGTGGAGAGAAGGGAACTCTCATACACTGCTGGTGGGAGTGCAAACTGGTGCAGCCACTATGGAAAACAGTATGG